TTATGGTTTAATATTTTTTCAAATATTCTTTAATCACCATATATCTCCGGATATTATCCATATGCCTCCGCGGCTCTACTACAGTTGCATCCGCGACTACTAAAGTCTTCTCTTAACGGTTGTTAATTTACCTGGGTTGCTGAGGCCTTAATCCGTGAAGCCTACTCGCCGGAAAGGTGCAAGAATTGTTTAAACGTAATAGGCTACCTACCTAGAGAAATTACATGGCCTGGTAAGAGCAAGACGTGAAAAAATTTTATATGCATTTTATAATGTCTTCTCTTAACGGTTGTTAATTTACCTGGGATGCTGAGGCCTTAATCCGTGAAGCCTACTCGCCGGAAAGGTGTGAGATGTGTTTAAACGTAACAGGCTACCTACCTAGGGAAATTACATAGCCTAGTAAGAGCAAGACGCGAAAAAATTTAATATGCATTTTATAATGTCTTCTCTTAACGGTTGTTAATTTACCTGGGTTGCTGAGGCCTTAATCCGTGAAGCCTACTCGTCGGAAATGTACGAGAGGTGTTTAAACGTAACATGCTACCTACCTGGGGAAATTACATAGCCTAGTAAGAGCAAGACGCGAAAAAATTTAATATGCATTTTATAATACTGGGACATACTTCCAACTTGATATCTTGTGTATCAATTATTACATACTTTCATATGATTACTTTGCAGGGAACCATTTTCTGGACCACGTCATCAAGTAAGGAGCTTGCCCACCGCTGGCTGCCGTACTTTGCCACTACTTCGTTGGGTGAGACACATGCCCCGCGCTGTCTTACTCGGTTGCTGCTCTACAAGTCGCTGTATGTCCACTACTCGACCACATGTCTCGAGCACTTTCGGTCGCATGTCCGACTACTCGCCATGATGATCGACTACTCGGTTGGGGTGATCAACTACTCGACAGCTAAGGTCGACCTTGTTGCGATGATTTGGAAATTCTAAGGTGGGGGTGATACGGGGTCTCCGGTGAGGGGACTGCCCACCCGAAGCCTTTTGATGGATTATCTAGGTTGCCTTACTCGGATCGGATCATGGTCGAACGAGAAGATTTTGCGTCAGCAAGATGAGCACGAATATGAGGATGCACATGCATATTTATATGTACTTTCATTACTCAAGCGAAACAAAGGAAGAGGCATGACATACAGCAGCATGCAAGAAGACATCATGCACACAAGCTAATTATGGAAAGTACTCGGTGGCGCAACTGTGTTGACTTGCAATGATATATGGATAGCCTACTACAGTTCGTGGGTTACTTGGATACACCCTTGAGAATGTCTACAAGATCCTACATATCCTCAGAAGAGGTTTTCAGTTCTTTGAACAACTCAGATTCAAGACCCTCCAACTCTTTGTTTCAAATAGCAAGAGGCTCGGGGGCTACACTCAGTGAGTTCATTTTTTCTTCAAAAAAACCCACATCACTCATAAGACTTCTTCAAGACAAGACCCTCCAGCTTCTTGTTCCAAATAGCAAGAGGCTCGGGGGCTACACCCAGATGGGAGTACTTTTTCTTCAAAAAAATTACACGCCACCCGAAGATCTCACGAAGCGCTACATGGTTTCGCTCAAGAAAGCACTCGGGCGATGCTTGTTCCTGCTCGGCAAGACCTGGAGGAACAAGACGAGGCTTCCGAAGTTCAACCATGAAGTGTTCGGGGGCTTGTTGATGCGGGACCCACGGGATACCCCACAAGGAAGAGAGGAGATCTAGTTTGATTAGGATCCCTCTCATGTAATCCTAGTAGTAATACTACGATGTAATCCTACTATGACTCTACATTGTAAACTGACTAGGACTCTGGCTTCCTGACTATATAAAGGAGGGCAGGGCTCCTTAGATCGGGAGGTCGGAAGGGGAGTTCAGAAGAACAGAAGAGACAACACTTTACAACCAATCCAACGCAAAGGCTAACGCCGACTGGATGTAGGGCTATTACTCAATCACGGTCGAGGGTCCGAACCAGGATAAATCGACTGTCTCTTGCGTTTACCGTCGACTTCTGCATATGCTGAAGCCCAAACAAACTACCCCGGGTACCCCCGTGGTAGGCTATCGGTGGTGAAACATCGACAATTTGATGTGAGAGAAAAATACTATTCTGACTTATAATTCACGATCGTTTACGACCAAGCTAACAGCCTTTTGATCTACTATGTAGCCACTTCCCACCTACCTATTTTTCTTCTTTGTATTTTCATTTGAGGTGTAATTGTAGGTTTTCAAAATCGAAAAGTGTTTTTTTCGGACACTTAAATTTGGCCTAGACCAATTTTAAGAGGCCTGTACCAGTGTTGACCAATATAAGAAAAACTCTATAAAGCGATATCTATCGTCAAGGCTCCTACCCCGGCTACGTCGCCGGAAATACTGTGGGGCGCTGGATGGGGTTGGGAGCTCCGTCATACGCTCGCCTGTTGTCGCTCCACGCGCGTGCACTACCGTGACACGGGCCCGTGCCTATTGACTAGTTGGGCCCGCTCATTGTGTGCCCTGCTTTGCGGCGGTGGGGGTGCGACTAGGAGCAGAATGGTCGACACGGCACTCCTAGCCAGAAATACAACTGTCGAGGTGGGATTGGCGATTGGCAATGGAGTGGACCCGGTGTGCTGTGCTTCCTGTGCCCCGATAAGTAGGGGGCCAAGTACACAGGCCTCATTATCTACTTTGGATTCGTGGAGGCCTCGACACGGGGGCCCGTATATGCTCCAAGAGACTGCATGGAGCCCCGTGCGGCGACTCAGGAGCAGAAGGTGAGGCCTCCTCATCGGATTTACTATGGGGATGGTGGGACGGACGCCTGCTACCCGCTGTAGAGACACCACGTTGTCGAGTGCCGATAGTTCCATCCGGGCCAGGGGCAAGTCTACGTGTAACCATTGGGGGTCAGCTGACCCGGTAACTTGCCAAAAACTCACTAAGTTCTTTTTATCCACCTGTAAATTACTCTTTCAAATAGAAAATCAACACGTCGTTGCTCCGTTGCTTAGTCCTTTGACCCAGTGACATGATATCCTAGATTCGCCCATGATATTTCGGGCTAGGGCCCTTTTGTTAGTGGCATCAACCGTGGTCTTGGAGAACTGAAGATATACAACCTATTCGGCTGGAGCGGGTGGCTGGCTGGCTAGTGCTGGCCAGCCCTCTCACGCGTGCACTGTTCATGTGAACAGTGTTTTCATACAGGAACAGTATTTTTTTTATAAAAACTAGTCAACAGTACTTTCTCACGAACCAGCCATCCCTTTTCGTTCCTCTGGCATCTAGTTGCGTATGCGCTCTCCTCTTGCATCCTCTTCCTTCATTCCTGTTCTGAGCGTTCTCGTTGCTTGTTGTTGCTGGCGGCCTCCCATTTGGTGGGGGAGATGGATGCTCAGGGCAGCAGCAATGCAGGCTCCTAGGAGTGTAGCCTTAGGAAAAAGTAACAGGCCACCTAGATAGAGCAGCGCCTAGGTATCAATTTTTCCAACGCAAGTGAATGCTGTCCTCTGACACACCAGTAGCCTACGCCTACAAGTGTTCTGTCTTTGGTACTGTGGTCCCGTGGAAAGCGTGATGAGGCTGTGCTGCTTTAACTCTCCAACGCGCGCGAGGATGACTGCTTCCAGTTTTCGTCAGACGAAGCACTCGGCGCTTCCGCAGGAGGTACTGACACCCTGCGAGGCTGGGGCTGGCTGACCAGCCCTCTCACAGGATCACTATTTATATGAATTAATCAACAGTATTTTTCTTGAATCAGCAACAATACGGATCAGTGAACCGGGCTGTGGATGTGAGGTGGACACCAATTGCATACGTGAAGGTTGAGGCTAATAGCCGCCGTGTCGCGTTGGGGAAGCCCTCAGTACTGAGGAGGGCCCGTGTAGGCCACCGCTGCATTTTTTTTTGACCTGTGGTGTCAGTTCCGTGCGAGTCTTTTTCCGATTTATCTGGTCTGTGTTGTTGGCCAGCTGCCGTATTGTGGGGGCAGGGCTCCAGCTGTACTAGGAGGGTAAGGGGGAATTCCGGGTAAGGGATGGCTAGATCTGCCGCAAAGGCGGGTCAGTGGGCTACTCCTTGCTGTCCCAGAGACGGGCGCTGCTCACTGCTGGTCTCTTCAACACTACCTTCTTTCTATTCGTCCTCTTTGTTGGTTGATTTCTGGGCTAATAAATTTGGCTGATGCTGATTTTTTGCGAGAGAAAAATATTATATCATAGTTGATAAGTTCTGGCTGAAACTAACGAGCGAACCGACTGATTGTCTAGAATTGCGAAAGAGAAGAAACTGAACCTACGAATCGTAAAGACATGAATATAATTTCACACATAGTGTTTGTGGAATTTATGATTTTCCACGTAGCGTTTGTGGAATTTAGTTTGGGTAGTTGAATTCGGGGAAATTGATTGCCTTAGAAAATGTCTGCATCACCATTTGTCCAAACTACTACGTCTTCTTAAAAATTGAATTATTGATTTTCGCCATTAGATGTCTCACCGTAATTTCTAGAGGCTCCCATAGCAATGCACGGGCATGTGTCGGTGCATGCAAAAAGCCAAAATATCTTATCATTTGGAGTTGAGGAAGTACAACATTTTTATATGAACAAATTTTTTTATATGACATATGAGATAATGAAAAATGTGAAATATAATTAAATAAATAATATATTGTTCACTCATTGAAACAAAAAAACAAATGAATACAAAATTCCTTAATGTTGCCACGTGGTGCATATTACGGTTAGTTTTTCACCCTAGAAGCTCTCAGCTAATAGGTATTTTCGGCATGATCTCATATGTGTTTGATTGAAAATTGAAAAATTATAATCTTTTATTATCGAACATGATATAGTTATATATTTGTGATTAAATGTACAGATGAATTTTATCTCTTATTGCAACATAGAAGGCAAGTCTAGCGGCGACGTATATATGTACGGTCTACCTTGCTATATGGATGTAGACTGTAGAAGTGATAAAGCTTTAGCGAGGTTAGTCGTCAGACGGTAGTCGTGCCACCAGCTCCAATGGCGATTTCTCGAATAACGGGGATTTCTTGAACTATGGGGATTTCTCTGGTGGTGTTGTGGTTACTGGAAACGTCGTCAGTGCGGAGGCCGGCGTGAGTGAGGATGGCCCAGATATGGGTGATAAACTCGCCGCCGTTGGCCAGCGCCAGCGCGTGCGCGTCCACGCCCCCGGACGGGGCGCGCGCCACGAAGACGAGCAGTTCTGCCCACAGCTGCAGCAGCATCTCCCACACCCTCTCATGGCCCGCGTGCGCCGACGAGCAGCTGACGGTCGCACGCTCAAGCTCCTTGGCCAGCATCACGCCCTTCTCCATCGCCGTGGATTCCCCGAGGCCCCCACGGTGGAACCCCGCGGCCATCAGTCGGTCCCGGCGTTTCGTGGTGGTGAGGCAACCCCGGAAGAAGCCGTCGATCTCCGCCCTGATGCCCCTGTAAGCCTTCTCTGTCCACGACTGGTCGTCCGGCAGGAGCCCCGGCTCGTAGGCCACCAGGTACGCGCAGTACCTCGACAGCGTCACGGCCGCCTCGCCTGCGGGCGGCAGCGGGTGCTCCTCCGTGTCGTCCCTCGCCTCGAGCAGCGTCGTCGCCAGGTGCCACACCAGGATCACCGTGGCGGCGCCCCCGGCCTCGTCGCACGCCCACTCGAGCTGCTCGAATCCCAAAGCGCCATTGCTGCGGCGCCGCAACGCCTCCCTGCCATTGCTGAATTGTCCTCACCGCCTCCCTGCCATTGCTGAATTGTCCTCCCTGGCCGTCGACGGCGCGGTCAAGGACGAGCTTGAGGACCTCGACGATGGCCTTCTTGGCCTCGGTGGTGACGGCTACATCGGGGAGGCCGACAAGGCGCCTCTTCAGCAGGCGGGAGAGCAGCACCCAGACCCGGCGCGGATGGAGCTGGTGGAACTTGAGGAGGGTGAACTGGTGCATCTTGATGACGGGGCGGGAGCGTTTCTTGATCCACAGGGCAGCCTTGACGGCTTTGCGGACGCCGGGGCGCTTCCGCAGGGCCGGTTTGGTGGCGTAGTTGCAGAGCACCGACGCGAGGTGCCAGTCGGAGAGCAGGTACTGCACGAACTCGTAGGTCTCGACGGTGAAGAGGGTGAACGTCAGCAGGAAAGTGATGATGAGGTCGGAGGAGGAGAGCACCATGGCGATGAGGAACGACGCCTGGTGGACGAAGCACCTGTACTGGAGGACCATGTCGGCGGACAGTGCCACGAGGCCGCGGAAGAGGGACGCCAGGACGTGGAATATGTGGCCGTTGCCGGTGACGAGCAGCACGGCGACGCAGTAGAAGAGGATGAAGAGGATGGAGAAGGCGAAGTTGGCAGCGAAGAGCTTGGGATTGGGCAGCGCCAGCGGGATGATGGCCTGGTAGTACTCGTCCAGGAACGTGAGCTCCTGCTCCACCACGTCGAAGGCCCGCTCCGCGCCGAGCTCCTCGAGGATGCCGTAGCGCACGAGGTCGCGCGCCTGTTCCGTGCAGGCCTCCACCATGGCGTGGCCCTCCATCCTTCGGCGGAGCAGCTTGAAGAGGGCCAGGCCCAGGCACGTGTCCTGCAGCCTGTGCTTACGCCGCTCGTGGTACCGGAACACTGGGTCACTCTCGGCGAGCTGCCAGACGTCGCACACGCGGACCAGCTTCGTCGTCGCGGTCACCGCCACCTCCACCGTCTCCACAAGCACGTCATCGTGTCGGTGGTCACGCTGGCGGGCGAGGATGTTGTCGATCTCCGGGAGCCGGAAACCGCAGGGCGCCTCCTCGCGATCCAGCTGGCTCTCCCCCATCACCACGTAGTTACATGTACGAAGGACGGGAATATCTTGTTCTTGATGTTGACCAACGAGATGCTGCTGTCTGGCACGGACGAGGTGCGCCATGTAGCCGGAGACGAGGCTGGCGTTCTTGGCGAGGTCGAAGGAGCGCTTGGCGAGCTCGATGCAGGTGGCCCGCTTGCAGAGCTTGGCGACGCTGAAGATCCAGAGGATGACGAAGAAGGAGTTGAGGACGGCTCCGCGATCGTGTTGTTCATTCGAGTAGATGAGGTAGCCGATCCACACCATGCGCGCAGCCTCCTCGACGGCGTCGAAGAAGGAGTAGCGCCCGACGCCGCGCGCGAAGGCGTCGCCCTCGGGGGCCACCATGGCGTACACCTTCTTGCGGAGGAGCTCGACGAGGAGCATCCAGAGGAGGATGAGGTCGGCGCGCGCGGGGGCGTCCTTGGAGCGGGCCTGGGAGTACATGTAGGACATGAGGGGCAGGAAGAGCGCGAAGGAGGCGCGGAAGAAGATGCGCGTCGCGGTCGAGTGGCCGCGGTGCCGCCCGGAGAGGCGCGCCAGGATGCAGAGCACGAAGAGCGCCGCGCCGAGCATGGTCATGAGCACCGAGGTGGTCACCATGAGCCTCTCGGTGCTGCGCAGGTCGCTGGACACCGTGAAGTTGGCCACCAGCGTGGCGGCCGGCGTGGTGCATCCCGTCTTGTTCAGCAGCAGCGGAAAGGTTGTAATGGTGAAGTTATAGTCTGGTGCGCCACCGCCGGCCGCCGCAGCCCTGCTGTAGAATAGGAGCGCCATGGCTGGAGGCGATGGAGCGCCACAGGTGTACCCTGGTGTGAGGTGTCTGGTGACGAGCTCACTACCAGCTGATAACCCTGACGAGGATGATGATGCTGAGCGCGCTGCGTTTGCATAATGACTGACGCCCGTATACCTGTTTATAAGTATTAGCTGGATTAAAGGCCGGATTCTTTGCTTCCATATGGTTTGCTGCCATGCTGGTTGTTCACACCTTACACAGGTGCTAGCTGCTAGGCATGCATCGGCATGGATTCGGAGCTCGTACATCCCTAGCTTGTGATGAATCAGCTCAGCGTGATGAAAACAAGCAAAGCAGACAAGAGTGACAATGACAAACCTTGGGCTGGAAGATGGAACCCGCGGCATCTGCTTCGTTTAACTTTTTTGTGTACGGAGACGGAGCTGATTTTGCCAAAGCATCTGTGTGTGCTGGTTGCTAACGCGAACACAGAAAACATCCATTTTATTCGTCAATGGCTCTTCTCTAGCAATGTCGAGCACACGATGCATGTTTAGGACGACAAGCAAAGACAAACACGGACCATCATGCTTTAGCATCAGATAGCATCTAATCCTTGAGACAATCCCAGCTAGCCTTGCTTAGGGTCCGCGCGACATACAAATAGAATAGAATCCATAATCATTTCCGGACAAAGGCACATACAGATAAAATCCTTAATTAAACAGTCTATCTATAGTACAACCATGTGTTTCAGCCAAAGCTAGTACATGGTTGTTGGCTGTCTAAAAACCACACGAATTCCAACAGACAAAAAACCATGTATTTTAGGAGAAGCTAGCATATGGTTGTTGGCTGCCAAAAAAACAGATAAATTACAAAAGGGAAAAAACATGTGTTTTAGGAGAAGCTAGCACACAAATTCCATCAGACAAAAAAGGTCCATGCAGACCAGATCTGCTGCTGTTTGTTAGATGTAAGTTCTGTGCAATTAAAAAACCCAATAACTAAGATGAAAGAGAGATGCATACTAAACATGTAGCAGCCCATAAACCCAACAAAACAGAAATTCCATAGAAATATAACAGGTATACTTGGGAAAGAAGCAAAGAAAACAGAGGAAATGATCTACGTGGAGATCAGAGCAGAGGAAAGGAGAAAACAACCAGCAGATCAAAGATGAAGATCTCCTCTGCGTGGGGGCAAGCAGAGCAGAGGAAAGGGGCAAGCAACCAACAGATTGAAGGGAAACCACTAACCTCAGCAGCCAAGGTAAACACACCGACTTCCTCAAGAAGATGTAATCCAAGATTGCTAGTATTTACTGCAACCAAATTCAAGAATTAGAATTACAGATTCACAAATTAAGGAACTTAGGAAACAAAAATATAGAATACCGAAAAACAAATTGCACATTTCAAATACTGTAACTGATATTTGCTGCTAATGCAATTATACTGATTAAACAAGCATTTTTTATGTTGGAACCAAGGGTACAAGACAGGAGCAAATGTCACAGCCACAATATCAGATTCAGAATTCTTAGAAAGTGCAAGGATACAACAACAATGATGTCAACACCAAGGACATGTATGAGGTAAAATAACTCATAATTTAAAATGCAATCATAAACAATGAAAATATGTCAACTCACTGAATTCTACATTTCTCGCAAATTCATTTGGTTCCCTAATGCATTTGATACAAGCACCAGTCCGGTTTGATCAATTACTTGAGGTAAAAACACATTTCATATATGCAATGAAAAATTAAGAAGATCCGATAAAAAGCAAAATAAGTACTTATGTGCTCTCTTTTTTATGAAGCGAGAATAGTATGTATATGACAATAAGCGAGCTGATGATTATCCAACATCAATGAACTCACATGGTATAAAAGCAACGAAAGCGGTCGGTCTTGATCGGCTCCATATCAAGTATTTGGTATTTGGAGGCACAAATTGTTCCACTGACCGTTTCTACAGATACAAAAAGGTGAGCAAAATCATTGCTTACTCCTAGGAAAGCCAAGATAAAAAAGGTTGTTTGTCAACTAAAATATATTTCAATGCAGGGAGGCTTCAATGAACTTATGATGGAACAGATCAGAAACTCTCAGGAAGATAATCAGACTGACTGGAATACGCAGGTAAAATTTATAAATACCAGTATACAAAAATTACAATTCAGACATATGCAAATTACACACATATGTGCAATGTAAATTCAGCATAACAGGTGAAGCACAAAATATTATGCAGATTATGCATATTATGGAGAATGTGTAAGTTTTGACACGATATATATGACCAACCGATACAACTTACCTTTTGCACCATTTGTTGTAATCACAGGACATGGGCAAAGTTGCCTTTTCGGATGTGGTTTCCTGCATGATAAGACAGCGGACACTTTTAAGTGGGTATTTCAAACTTTCTTTGAAGCAATGGGAGGAAAACACCCTCAAACGATCATCATAGACCAAGACATGGCGATGAAATCAGTAATAGAGCAAGTCTTCATAACAACAAAGCATAGAAATTGCTTGTTCCACATAAAAACAAAATGCTACAATAAGAATGTCAAGGTGTTTGCTGCAAACGAAAGACTATATGAAGACTTCGAAGATACAGTGAACAATAGTCTAATAGTGGAAGAATTTGAACAACTTTGGAAGAGAATGATTGAGGAAAGAAACCTTCAAGGGAATAACTACTTTTCTAAAATATGGAAAATGAGGAAAAGGTTTATCCCGGTCTACTACAAAAATGACTTCTTCCCTTTCATACAGACCACATCCAGGAGTGAGGCAACAAATGCTAGGTTCAAAGATAATGTAGGGCCAACCTATTGTATCATTAGCTTTCTGAAAGAGTACAATCAGATTATTGATACCATAAATCGAGTAGAAAGGCTGGAGGACAGCTATAGCAAGCAAAAAAGGCCAAAGGAATTTATATTTGGCTATAGAATAGAGCAGTAGGCATAACAGCTATACAACAGAAATATATTCAAAAAGTTCCAGCTACAATTGAAGGCAACATCAAAGCTGAACTACAGAGAAACCGAAGATGGAAAAACATTTCAAGTGTGACAAAAAAGTAACCAGATTTAGGAGGTTCATAGGTTTAGGAGATATACAGTAAACACTGACCTAACAGAAGGCGAAGAAGAATTTACCTATATATGTGCAAAATTCAACAAAGATGGGATACTCTGCTCTCATATCCTGAAAATAGTCATTGAAAAGGAAATCAGCACAATTTTAGACAAATACTTCTTAGACAGGTGGAGAAAAAAGGATATGAAGGTACATGTTGAAAGACAAGAAGAAGAAACAGTTGCAACAAGCTCATTGTTGAGATTCAACATATTATCTAGGAAGTCAACAATATTGAATTCAAAAGGATTAAAAAATGAGGAAACCATGGAATACCTTATGGCAGAATTCGACAAGATGGAAATCAATTTAGATAGAATGTTATTTGCTCAGTAAGCAGGTGAAGCACAAAATGACTAGCAAGAAAATAAAGAAGAAACTATATCAGCACAAGCTAGAGATCAACAGACTGAAATAGATGATCTAGAAAGAATTCAGAGAAAAGAAAAGCCACCTAAACCTGTCAGAATGAAGACACATATAGAAGAAATAAATAAGAAACTAGTGGCAGTAGAAAAGAAAAAAACAAATGACATAGACAGTGCAGGTAAAAATTTTGAGTACATACAAATAGAATTTCAGTATATACAAATAGAATTTGAATTCAAATGCAAAAATTCTTATTTATGTGAACTAATAATGTTTTGTAGGCTCCTCGGTGAAACCAAAAAAAAGAAGAGGAAGAAAACATCAAATGGTAGCATTGATCACCAAGCAATAGAATACTAAGGATATGGTAATCAAAGAAGATCAACATAAGGAAAGCGAAATTTATCAATCAGAAGGAAAGATGCAGTCAAATTCAATGGCCAATTAATTTATGTAATTTGTTTAATGAACAAGATGTTACATTCTTAAATTAAATTATGCTCATAACTACAATTGCATATGCTAAAAACTAAAATTACAGTGCCTAGTAGCTGCAAATTACATTGTTGGTGATGACAATTGTGTAACCGAATGTTTTATTTGTCTCAGAGGTTAAAAAATTGGTGTGCTGGCACAAATCACAAAAAACAAACTTCAATATGTGTTAGCACAAATCACATTAAACAATTTTTTTCTATGTAAGGACGAGGACAAGGGCAAAGAATAGGGCAATTTTTCAAAATTTTACTTACTCATAACACCAAGTCAAGCAACAAACAAACCTCACATCATCCAAACGCCCATCAAAATTAGAAAACTTTAAAAATTCACATTTTTCCTATAACTAAATTTGCGCTAGTTCAAACTTGGTAAATTTTATGCAAATATTAAAACCTTTCATTTTATTTAGTGTTTTCTATGCATAACATAAAATCAGAAATTTTGGGGTGTGACACAATATCCTTGTCTATTTCTGCTTCTTCTTACTCTAAAGACTTTGGTGCCTTTTCTTTTCCTTTACGATTGCATCTCATTGTCACTTTTACTATCTCATTATTTCTTTTCTTACTTGTAGTTCTTGTTGTATGCGTTATGACAACTTCAAATCCAGCTAGGAATGCATAGAAGTTGAAGAAATGGTCAGCATCATGCCTATTCTTAAAGTTGGTTTCTATTATAAAAAGTTAACCATGACCACTGGATGCATGAATGACTATGGTGCATGCAAGTGCATGGCAAATACAGCTAGTACAATACCCTTTGACTGAAATGGAAATATTGGCTAGTAAACTAACCTTAAGAACACCCTTGCTAAGATAATCAGATCCTCCATACCTCAACTCCAAGGCCCCATATATTCCTGAGAGGCCAATTGTTCAAAGATAAAAATGTCAAAATTTTGTGCATATAAATGTCAAACATGGAATTTTAGACAACTACAAAAGGCACACCTATTCAGAAAGTAAAGGACCGATATTGAGTGAAAGTCCAGTCTGTGTGGCTCGAGCTCTGAAACTACACCACCACTCATTTGAACAAAGTTGGAAGGATCATTGTGGAAGAATGATTCACTTACTAATAGGCAACCCCTGCAAGCAAAAATGACACAGTTAAAAACAGAAGGAATGGCTACACTACAACCACTATCAACAATATACAAAAATATTTGTATAATATACCTTCTGAATAACATGAAACAATTACATACTACTTGGCTAAGTGATGCGTTAGAATAATGTCACTCATTCCAAATGCATCCTCAGTGTGCTCTAATAATTCCTAACCTGGGCTACCATTTGCAGGAGTCCTAAGAGCAAGAAAGACAAGTCAACACTTAGGAATAATTATCATCAGTGAAGACAACCTGTAGGGAATCACCTAATGTTTTTAGACTAAAATTCAAAATACAAATAAGATTTGAATGAACCTTAACATAGGATTCCCTTAGAAAAAACGGATAGCCGATAGAATAATCCAAAACACATGGCAGACAGAGCAAGGCACAAATATGTGCATCCACAGATCAATAACCTAAATATAGCCACTTCAGAGTTTCTACAGTCGATCAACAATTACAAATTACAATCATGTCAATGTGCTTATGACATAGTGGGTAACACCAATCCACATAAAAAATGGCATCAACATCAAATCTATGCATCCCCATTTACTAGTAATCTCATTCTCATATAATGCAGCTGTTCCACAGCGAATATATAGTACTGCAGTTTACTAACCCTGAGTTTTCTAGAAAATGAGGGACGAAAGGCAATTCACTAAACCTATAACTTACTAAATTACAGAAAAGCAGGACTAACAGCACACAAATCACAATTAACAAAGTTTAAGATATGTTAGCACAAATCACAAAAGACAATTTTTTTCTATGAACGGACAAGGACAAATAAGAGGTGTGGGTAGGCAAAAATCACAACTTACAAAGTTCAAGATGTGTTAGCAGAAAACACAAGAGACAATTTTTTTCTATGAAAGGACAAGGACAAAAACTTGGTGTGGGTAGGCACAAATCAAAGCAAACAGAGATCATTGACACATTCATACGAACAATTGACTTTGACTACCTCAGCTGAATCATTTTAGAACTTTATAAACATTGTTGTGCACATAAAAGTGCTCTAAACCACAACTAATTTAGCAGACTACTCCCCTCTAGATGAAAACTTCTATAATTGGTTAGTACTTTTCTGGTAAATGGAGAAGCTGCCAATCATTTCAGACCATCATCTTCAGTTTCCCGTGGCTTAAACAATGAGTCAATTATTTCCATTTTAGGTGACTAGGTGCGGACAAAAGCTCTATATTTCGAGATAAGAGGCCATTCACGAGAACTAACCTAAGAACAACAAAATATAAACTGTCACAATACCTACAATTTATTATTTATCATAGAAAATTACAAAAATTATACTTACACTAGCAATGGACGGTACATCAGAATGTCTAGGAGAACCATGCGACATGTCCATTCCTAAGATTATAGTTGGGACCTTGGACACTTGAGGAATTGCTAGGGATGTTTCAATTTGGAGCAACGAATTCATGCCACTCAGCTGTTTGAAAAGGGACAAAATATCAAAAATATATAATTGCCATGTACAAATGTAGCCATGCTCTCAAATCTCAAGGCAAAAAGAAACAGACCTTTGCATTTATCTTTAGTAGGACATTTGTAAAGATACTGATCGTTGACTCTAGTTGGTGCCACGCACTGTGTAACGATCCCAAATTCAGCAAGGCATTTCTTCTTCCAAGGCCCTACAAAGGTCAATGGCATAATGATATAGTGGAAAACAAAATGCACCATAGAAGTTAACAACGATTTAGTAGTATTAACCAACCATAAATATCAGAATTCTTTCTTTCAACTACAACACACAGAAGAAACTTGGGTGCTCTAGGAAGCTTGATTTTGACTTGTTCAAACATGTCTTCGACCCTTGTTACAGTAGGTGATCGTCTCATTGAAGGATTCTCATCAATTACATCAAAAGGTGCTTCAACCATCTGCAACACCAAACAAGTAAATAAGAACATGTGGAAATGAAATCCCAAACATGAATTAGAGCACATCTGGAAATGCACAACATAATGAGAAAATAAACTTATGATCCCCTTCATGCCTCCACACTTGATGAGATCCCTGACAAGATCCCTGACATTGCATCATGCAGAAAAGTTGACCACTGCCCATTTCTCAACACTGCTAGCTCTAATGAGCCTCTGAAAAACAGAATTCAAAATATTACATGTGACATCATGATAATCCACATACACAAGAAAGAATATGCTATACATGCTGACCTTATTGTTGAAGTTCCATCTACCATTGCATGTAAAAATGTCTTCTCCATTGCCAGCTTTAAGCTAAACAAAAAGACAGATAAGATTTATGCCTTCGAAATTCCATAACCACAAAGGATATCTGAAATGATAAAGGATAAATAGTAATGACCAACCTTGGAAGGCTGGAGTATCCTACCATCAACTTATGTGAAACTTCTAGCAATTGTAATCCCGCATGACTTCAGCATGGGCTTTGCATCATAGTTGCTTCTTTGCAGTACCTACCCAATTTTACATGAAAAAAAAAGTTTAAGAAAACCACACCTACCAATAAGGCAATAACCCAATTTGCTAGGCCCAATTGTTATTGTTATATATAATAACAAAAATAAAAAAATGCTAGGTTTAATCCACACAAAAAACTCACATCAGACAAAACATCCATCCTTTCTTGTGGTTTCTACCTAGATTTCTCAACAAGTGATGACCTCTCAAGCGTGGTCAAAGCTTTAGTGTATCTTTATAAAAGGCAGAAGACTGCATAATTGGTAAACACAGAAACAATCTTCACAACATTAGCGGGAAAAGAGCTTTACAGCAAAGGAACAACACTAGGATTCAAATAATAGTTACCTCAACTAGAAAATATGTTGGCCACTTTGGTTTTCCCACATTGATACAAGGAAGATCACCAGAGTATTGCAGCTCTGTGCCATGTTCCTTTACGAAGTAATCAAAAACAGTGATCTCTTTAGAGTCACCATTACCATTTTTATGTTTCAGTGTGAATCTACAAAAGCAAGATACAACACTAGAGACCAACTGGACTCAACTGGATGATAATCTTTGTACTCGCCAATATTCAATGAATCAGAGTTGTTGTCTTCTTCAGAGTTCATATCAAACTCATCATCACTCTCAATATTTACAGATTGAGCATTAGATTGCAACTCATCATCATCCATGGCTATATAACAAAAAATAATAAAGTTTAATCAGCTAGTGTTTTCTTAAAAAATATGCATGCCTACCATTTAGTAACTCACATGAGTGAGCTCTTTTACTTTAGTTCAGTACTACTCGTACTAGGTCGGCATACACCGTACATAATGAACAAAAGCTTTCAAGCACGATATTAGAATCAGGTATGACCAAACTATTGTTGCATGCATGAAGTAATTGCATATATAGGCAAATCAAGGATACAGAGGCGAAGACAAGTTAGATTCACCGAGATTACATAGTTACAAGATTACATAGGAAACTAATATATAGTTATAAGAATTTCTTTGGTGCAATAACAACTTGGAAAAACAGATAACATATAAAATTCAGGATCCAAATTCCTTATAGAATTCACAGACTATATCAAAGTCAAGAAAACAGCACGCAGCCAAAAATCCATGTAAAAAAATCATGAGTATGTAGCAGTAGAACTGATGCTCAAGCTCAGCCAGGAAACCAAGGCATGGATCATGGATGGATGGTCCAACAATGACCATACATATGCTCAACAAATCATGAGTATGTTACAAAGATAGTATTAAGAGTTTAGCTTCACATTGCACTCTTAGTTTTCACCACCATAATCAATTGCCATCTTCCTCTCACATGAACTAGACTGAAGTATGCTAAGCTGTGACAAGTACTAGTTACTTTCTTTGTGACAGAATAGAACTTGAAAACAAAGCAGAACCTAGCCTCAAAAAGAGACATTTCAGATGTTAGTGACCCTAAGAAGCGAAATAGTTGAATTATTTTTCAGAAATGCTCTTATTTTTAGACTACAGTCAATGTCACTCAAATAGCTGAAAAATTATTAGCCAAAGTAATTGCAATTTGGATACATAATTAGATAGAAACCAATTTCAATCCACCTAAGATTAGCAAAGGAAAAACATACATAATTAGACAGAAACCAATTTCAATACACCCAACTGACAAATAATGGACAGTTGACAGTGCTGATTTATCAGATCTATCTAACATTATACTGAAGAATCCATATGCATAAATCATATAATGATCAATTGAGTTTGGTTATTAGTATTGTGACTATATGACTATATATAATTATATATCATTTGATCATATACATGAAAATTACAATTATAATCAACAAGCTCAGTCAAATAAATATTGTCAATCGTCGATTACCATGAAACTACCATTAAATATTTAAATCACAATGGTAACTGAACTTCACCTCAACAAGCTGATATCAGAAAAAGGAACCACCAAAATGGACCAAGCAATTAAAACTTAAAAAGATAGGTGCTCACTATTTTGTGTGTTTCATGATGGATTGTCCTATTTTGCAGTTTGCAAGAAATGCTTGAAAGAGCATTGCAACGATTAAACTGATATTTACCTGACAATCTGATGATTATAAATTTTTCATTTCGAGAGATAATGCCAAAAAAATAGGTAAAACATTGATCTTCTAAGTATAAAGCATTCAATAGTCTAATCCAAAACTTTGCATGATAGCAGCTAGCTTTATATTTATCCATATGGTGCGGGTAGCTTTCAATGTATCACAATCAACTACTTATAACATTGATGAACTAGATTGGATCTCAGTGCCATACAACTATGCTATTTCAGAAATGTCCTAATTACAGAGCTGATTATATACACTTACACTCATTTCAGACTCTAGAATACAATCTGAGACCATATTCGTAAACAAGTATCAAGAAGCTTGTCGGGGACCTAATATCGGGGTACCTAATGAGGTAGAACTAATGACCATCGAACGTTGACACTACCAATCAGACGAGAACGCTACTGCGTTTCTTATCCGAACGACGGAAGACTGGTTCCGCCTTGCCCGACCTCCGGGGGCTGGCTCTGCCTCGCCCGACCTCCGGGGGCTGGCTCTGCCTCGCCCGACCTCCAGGGGTTGGCTCCGCCTCGCCCGACCCCCGGGGGCCGGCTCCTCCGCGCCCGACGTTTGGGGGCTGGCCCCACCTCGCCCGACGTCCGAGGGCAGTTTTCGCCTCTCCCGATGGCCGAGGACAGGCTCTGCCTTGCCTGACGGCCGAGGGCAGACTCCGCCTCACCCGACGAGTACACCCTGCGCCTTCATAATGATGAGCACTGGGTACGACATGACATTCAAGTCAAACGCAGCACCAAGGACCATGCCCTGCACCGTGGCAGGAAAGTACCACCAGGGTACGACGGGATGGGCGCTTTAGACCATTTCGGGCATGGCAGAGTCCGAATAGTGTTGTAGGCGCCGCCTTCAGCCCTCGGACATGGAACCTGACATAGACATACGACAACCACTATGGTCCAAGAAGAGACTCGTGCCCTCAACAGTGATGAACGTACAGTCACCGCGCCATCCGCTCCCCACAGGGCTACAGGTCAACACCCTTGTCCGACACGCCGCCTGGAGGGGCGGGACGGGACGTGACCACTTGCTGATCCGGTAAGGGCATGGCGTCGTCAGCACAGAGGCATCCATTGAACGTGCTAATCCCTGACACCGTCTGGCCATGTCAGCGAGGCTGGCTCAGCGGAAAAGGAGGGCCCAACACCTTCAGAGGGGCTTCTTCGCCTCTGGTTTTTCTCTTTTCTCTCATCTGTAACCCCTGCTCCCCCCTTGGTCTATAAAAGGGAGGGCAGGGCCCCCACTAAGGGGATCGACTCTCAACAGACAAGCTCACAGAGAGATCGATCGACATGACTCAACAACACACATCACACACAGCTGAGCTACCACCGGGCTCTTGGCACCCTTTCGACCATTCCATTAGAGACTTGGGCCTAGTCCCTCTCTCGACCGTTTGTACCCCCTACTACGAACCATTTTCGGTGCTAATAACACGAGCAGCAACAGACTAGGCGTAGGGACATTCAGCCTGAACCAGTATAAACCTTGTGTCCTTTAGGGCACCATCCGGGCCTAACGCGCACAAATATAAATTTACTAGCCGGTGTTTGTTCGAAACACCGACAAAGCTATATCAAATACCTCCATTCTTCTAATACCAAAGTTGAAATACAAGTATCAGTTTGATTACAACAGATATTTGTGTTTTTACCCCCTATTCTAATTACACATACATGGCAACACACTACAAATTAAAACACCTCTACCTATAAAATGGAGTGACAAGCATCTCCTAGCAATGGAGTGACAAAACTCAGTTATGAAATGAAAACAAATTTACAGAATCAGAGCTTCGGTAAATTTACAGAATCAGAGCTTAATTCATGAAATAATGCAAGGAGAATTTAATCAACTCCTAGTAGACAATAACAGATACAAGAACAACTTTCTTTTGCATAAAGAGTGAATATAGCATGTCAATGTCGTCATATGCGTTTAAGTCCTACAGTTTCATTAGTTCAGGAAAAATAATTACCTTTCCCATTGTTAAGCCTATTTGCCGATAGGTTCTATCTATCTATGCCAGAATTGTTGGATGCAAACCTGCAGTACTATAGGTCATCAGGTAGAGGCATATTAGCTCCTACAACATTAGTAGGAAACACCAATATCTGCCTAGGTAAAAGGTTGCAACATTCAGTACTCTCATCACAAACTGAATTCAACATCCAGTCAAAATGTTCAGTGAACTCTAGATGCATGCCATCATCCGCCCTGCTGCCTGGCTGCCCCTACATCTGAAGCCTGGCTTCTCAAGCTACTGTTCCTAGCATAATACAACAGACCAGAAGCACTGGCGGGCTCTCCGTATGGCTTAGTAGCTGCCCTCATTGATTGATCTTACAAGTTACAACAACAACAACCACAGATCAAATATGCCTCTACGTGTTTCCTGCTATGAGGAAGAACAGGAAAGAATAGAAAGACATAACAAATCAAAGGAAATAATGCATGCATGCCCACTTCTCTGCTACTACTACAGGTGTTCCTTCGACATGGCGGCAGAGTTCGTCAAAAACAGAGAAACCGCCGCGGTAGCTCGCCCCACGCACTCTCACCATCCCGACGCTGCAGCTCACCCCGCATGCCGCTACAGCTCGCCCCACGCGCTCTCACCGTCCTGACCCTACATCTCACCCCGCGCACTACTGCAGCTCGCCCTGCACGCTGTGGCTTTCATGCCGCTGCAGCTCACCCCGCGCGCTCTCGTCGTCCAGCGGCCGCAGCGCCACTCACCATTCCACCGTTGCAGCGCGCCCCCGCGCGCTCTCGTCATCCCATCGCAACGCCCCACACGCATCGCTAGGCCTCAGGAAACAGAAGAACACAGATCTACAATCAGTGGGCAAGGAGGACGAGAGCGACGATGAACTCAAGGGAGAAAGTGGTGAACTCACGTACCTCCAGAACTCGAGCAATGGCAGACGAGAAGGAGGCGATGCGCAGAGACGAAGAGGGCGTGGCTCGCCGTGATGCTGAGACAATCGCCGACCGCCAGGACAAACCCCTTTCCCCTCTTGCCGGGACGATGGGGGAAGTGAGACAGCCAGAAACCGACAGGCGCGACTTCCGATTCAAAGCAGTAACGCCAGAGTTGGCCCCGCACGTCAGCGTCCACAAAGCAACCAACACCAAATCAGAACAGACTAGACATCGATTATTCATCCAACGGATAGAAAATTCATGTGCCAACAAATAAAAAAACACATGGGTGTCATATAGCATTCTGTCTACTATACAACCGTGTGTTTTAGCAAAAGCTAGCACATGGTTGTTTGCTGGCTACAAAACACATGATTTGTACCAGAGAAAAAACCGTGTGTTTTAGCACAAGCTAGCACATGGTTGTTGGCTGCCTGCAGAACACATGATTTCAAACAAAACAAAAACCGTGTGTTTGAGCACAAGTTAGCACACGGTTGTTGGCTGCCTCTAAAATAATGGATTTTTAAAGAAGGCCAATGTAGAGGAAATGTGTTGTGATTTCTTTACAACTGAAGAGTAAAATAGTACAGCCCATTAACTAAAATGACAAAATGACCCATTAAACAGCAGCAGTCC